CGGCCGGCGGCCGTGGGTCCCGAGCCGCGCTCCGACCGGCCCGCCTTCAGCCTGTCCATGGCGCTGCAGATGCAGGTGCGTCGTCGCCAGGGGCTGTCCTGTTCCCTCCTTCCTGGCGCCGCTCTCCTTGTAGACTGCCGCCCGTGTCACGACGGTGCTGTGCGGTCATTGGTGGTGGCAGGAATGAGCCTGTGTGGAGTCTCGGACTGTGCAGCGTTAGCCATCCTCTAGGTCCGTAAGCTCTATAGTGTATCCTACTGGCACACTAGTGGAACTTGTGGAAGATCCTGACGCCCCAATACAACAAAATGTGCTCCTGATGACGAGCTCAAACCAAACCGGTTGTCATCACTGCAATTTATGCCGTACCTGAGGGCCTCGGGCTCGTCATGTCTTCGGCACGTTCCGTCACATCACACCTAGCTTTTGCCTGCGCCTCCGGCGGCTCTTCGTGTATCCGTGATCCAGCGTCTCTGACCGGACGCCAACCGCTCCATGCCAGGCGGATGGCGACAAGGAGCGCTGGAGCAAGGTGCCGCCTCTGCAGAAGAATTTCTACAAGGAGGACCCGGCCGTGGCGGCTATGCCGGACGACGAGGTGGCGCGGGGTCCGGTACGGTATCCGGCCGTCTTGTGTGGCTCAGCGGCTAGATCACACCTTGTGTTAAATATGTAAATGTGAGATACTGTAAAAGAAGCCGGAAACTATTTGAATGCAGTGAGTCGTGCACCAAGTGTGGTGTTGCCTACAAATAGCCTGAGATATAAAAATGTGTCGGATACTTCACTAAGATGATGCAGTTTGTCTCTTGATTCGTAAAGTGGCCTTGTTTTTAGTAGGCCAGGTTTGCCATTTTTATCCGTTGATAGTGTTGTAGTTGAAATTGCGTGACCTTCAACTCACTTCAGCTATTTCATGCCATTCATCAATTCACGGCTGGTATACTCTTTACATTCGAAATAAAGACGCCGACACCGCGCATCGCGCGACGCCTGTGCCGCGTCACCGTCGCCGCTCTCGCCGCGCAGCGCCGAGATGAACGACGTGCACGTGAGCTGCGACGAGAAGGACGCGCCGCTGCCGAACCCGGTGACGACGTTCGAGCAGGCGTTCGCCGCCTACCCGGAGATCCTGGACGAGCTGGTCAAGGGGGCTTCGAGAAGCCGACACCGATCCAGGCCCAGGGCTGGCCCGTGCTGCTCTCCGGTCAGGACATGATCGGCATCGCGCAGACCGGCTCAGGTCAGTGGCAGAGCGGCCGGCCTCGCGTCGCTGCTGCCGTCTGGGAGCGGGGGTGTTAGAGGCCGTACCGCGACCGCGTGCTTTGCCGGTACCGTGACCGTGGCGTGACGGAATGCTCCGCTGTTTTCGGCTCCGGCAACCGCACGCCGGGGTGGTGCCAATTGACTTTCGTCGGTTAGTTGTCAGTCTGCGTGTGCATGCGTGCTGCCCGCCTCCGACGCTGGCACTCACCAGCCGACGCTGTCTGCCCGTTCAGTGCTGTGCGTATGCTGCGGCCAGGAGCGGCACCAGTCAGCTGAGGTCTGTCCACGTCTCGGCCGGGGGAGAGGGGTGGAGTCCGTCAGTCAGCTGACGGTGTGTCCAGTCTCGGCCGGGGAGAGGGGTGGAGTCCGTCAGTCAGCTGACGACCTGCCCCCGTCTCGGCCGGGGAGAGGGTGGAGTCCGTCAGTCAGCTGACGACCTGCCCCCGTCTGGCCGGGAGAGTGGTGGGGGAGTCCGTCAGTCAGCTGACGACCTGCCCCCGTCTCGGCCGGGGAGAGCGGTGGAGTCCGTCAGTCAGCTGACGGTGTGTCCCGCTCGTGGCCAGGGAAGACGCTGGCGTTCCTGCTGGGCGCTGATCCACACAGATCTGCAGCCGATCCCGCGCGAGGAGCGCGGCGGCCCCAACGTGCTGGTGCTGGCGCCCACCCGCGAGCTGGCCCTTCAGACCGAGAAGGAGGTCAAACGGTGAGAACCGAACCACAAGCGTAGCGCGTGACATGTGTGTTCGTGCCCAAGCTGTAGGCACAGCCTGGGCTCTTTAGTAACCGGGTGAAAGCTAATGTGTAAAATGCTGTAAGGAATGGGGCGTGTGTAGGAAGATCGTAGCGATACGGTATGGGTGTGGTGGCAAAATGTTGCAATGACAAAACTTCAGATGGGATAAATATCGATTGGGTATAGGTTGGACGCCATCGTATCATACATGATAACAATCATACGCGAATAAGATCGTCGTGTAAAAGGACGATGTGGGTATTGGATGCACTTGCATGTCGTACGAATTAATGAGCTTCGCGTATTGTTTTGCTCCCTGGTAAGATATTCGTAGTGTTTTCCTAAGCTCTGATGAGGTCGGCCGACATGTCGCCACTATGGCCTCGCTCTCAACTGCCGTACGTGAGGGGGCCCCCGCCCAGCTGATCAGCTGACCGCTGCGGCAGTCTCGCCTCGCCACTCTGCCTGCGCGTCGTGTTAATGTTGCACAGTCCTCGCTACTCATCCTGTGGCCGTGACGCGGGTGCCGGTTGTCGCCAGGTACAACTACAGGGGATCCGGAGTGTTTGTGTGTACGGCGGCGGCGACCGACGCACGCAGGTCAAGGCCGTCTGCTCCGGGGTCGAGATCATCATCGCCACGCCGGGCCGACTCAACGACCTGGTTCAGGCTGGTATGGACTGGTCGGGAGTGAGGGGGGGGGGGGGGCGCTCCGGCTGGACCAACAGAGCCGGCGGTGGCGCGGGCTGACTGGATGGGTGCAAGGGGCAGAAACCGGCTGGAACGCAAGCGACTGATAGACCGACAGCGGCCGACAAGTCAGTCGTGCTACTCTGGGTTGTCTGTATGTCTGTGCGGCAGGCAGCGTTGATGTGAGGCTGTCGGAGTTTTTTATAAATAAAAAATGGGTAATCCAATTGGTGTGGATGCGAGGAGGGGGGGGGGGGCTCTGGCCTCAGAGAAGCAAAGCTTGTTGATGTACCCTGATCTCACCACCCAAACTGAACCACTCAGCTCTGCAGATAAGTTTGCCATCTCGCTTGCGCCGCACAGAATTAGGGGGGGGGGTTGTGCTTGGGTGCTTTGGCGTCGCCTCCCAGCCCTGGGTTGACCTTCATTGGGCAGTGCCTAACTGACCTTTTGGTGTAACCCGGGCCAAACAACACGCCCGCTCTGGGCCTTACGCCCAGCGCGGCCGCATAACGAGTGCAGCATCTTCGCCCCAGATGACGCAGTTGCCAGCGTGGCCAGCGGGGCTCGTGGACGTGCCGCGCTCAGTGTCCTCTCGGCGCGGCCGGCAGGGTTCATTGACGTGACGTCAGTGACGTACCTGGTGCTGGACGAGGCGGACCGCATGCTGGACATGGGCTTCGAGCCGGAGATCCGCAAGGTGCTGCTGGACATCCGGCCCGACCGGCAGACCGTCATGACCAGGTGAGTGGCGCGGGCACGTGACAGACCGGCGTGTGTCCCCGTCGATCGCTAACGTGATCCGCTCTTCTGGACTTCCGCCCAAGGTTTCGGCCTAGATCCACGAATTATGTATCTTTCCTCTTACACGGCATTCAGAGAGCATGCCAACAGATTACCCCGCTCCGCCGCTCGCTGACCGGGGGCGTGCAGCCCACGGCCGGGGCGCCGTCGCCGCGCGGCTGCTGGGCGCCGGCCGCCGGTGCTGACGCCGCGCCGCCCGCCGCCTCGCTGACCTGGGGCGTGCAGCCCACGCCCGGGGCGCCGTCGCTGTCGCCTGCGCGGCTGCTGGGCGCCGGCCGCCGGTGCTGACGCCGCGCCGCCGCCGGCAGCGCCACCTGGCCAGTGGACGTGCGCCGCATCGCCGACAAGTACATGCAGACGCCCATCCACGTGGTGGTCGGCACGCTGGACCTGCCAGGCCTGCCGCACACCCGTCGAACAGATCATCGTCTCTGCCGCGACGAGGAGGAGAAGAAGGAAAAGGTACGGCGCGCCCATTGTAGCAGCAGGGAAGCGCCACATGCACCCCGCACGTGGCGCTAATCGGGCGGGGGGAGGGGCTCACGTGGCGCTGAACGACAGGGGATGGACACCCTGTTATCACTAAATCATCCACGCTCACGCTTTTCCGTCATTTGCCGTCCTTCACCATGATCTCGTTTCTTACGGTTGTTTAGCCGGTGGGAACACAGCTCAAGTTGTCGTTAAGGGAGATGTCTTTATACCGTCTTCGCGGGGCGTTGTGAATGGGTCTGTTTTGTCGCCTAAGCCAGTGCGTATGGGTCGGGCCGAGCCTTGCGCGGTGACCCACCCTGACCCTTGTTCACGTGCAGTTGGACGAGTACCTGTACAACATGGGACCCGATGAGAAGATTATCGTCTTCTTTCGGCCGGAAGGCTAAGCCAGCCAGCTCTCCATAGACTATGGTCAGTTTTCAAGTGTGTGTGTTATGCCGCCACACTCCACCCTCCTCTGTTGTGTTTTCCAGGTCGATGCGAATATTGTTTGGGTGTTCCGCCACTGTCGTTGCCCATAGGGCCGTGATCACGTTTCCCCGTACCCGGGCTTTCCTAAGCGTGAGCTGTGCGGACTGTGGGTTGTTTGACGGCGCTCTTGACCGTCATTTTGCCCCCCCCCCCCCTTCCTCGTCAGGTGCGGATGGCGTGATCTGTAGAGTTAACGACGCTCCTGACCCCCCCCCCCCCCCCCCCGTCAGGTGTGAACGGCGTGGACCTGCAGAGTATCCACGGTGAACCGGCCGCAGGAGGAGCGCGAGATCGCCATCGAGGAACATGCAGTCGGGCTCCGTGCCGCGTGCTGTTCGCCACCGACGTGGCGTCGCGTGGCATCGACATCGCCGACGTCACGTGAGCTTTGCTCCGCCCCGCCAGTCTGGATCACGTGATCCTCCTCCACCCGCGCGGGACGGCCCGGGGCGGGTTCTCCTGGGTGGTGCGATGGGTGACGCTGCCAGTGCCACCGCTCGCGCGCAGTGGAGCCCTCGCGACATGTGCCGTCAATAGCCGCGCCGTGCTCACGAGGAAGCCCCATTGGTAAGGACGGGCGTCGGTAGTCATGTCCGTGCTGACGGGGAAGCTGTCCATACACGGCGTGTAGTCGTCGCGTGACGCTGGTCAGCATGCAGCGGCGATCACGAACGGCCCGGTGAGGCTCTGAACGGCGCGACTCTGGACCCGCAGGCTGATCGTCAACTTCGACTTCCCGCGCCACATCGAGGACTACGTGCACCGGGTGGGCCGGACGGGCCGGGCCGGCAAGACCGGTCGGGCCGTGACGTTCATGGTGCGCGAGGACTGGCGGCACGCGGCCGAACTCATCGAGATACTGCAGAAGAACCAGGCGGTGAGTGAACGGCCGCGCCCGGCCTGCTCATGACATGCCTCGGTGGAGGCAATGTCTTCTAACCCAAAACTCCCCGTGGAGATGCCGGGGTTTGAACCCGGGGCCTCTCACATGCAAAGCGAGCGCTCTACCACTGAGCTACATCCCCGCAAAATTAGTGTGGTGGCTGCCAAATTCGGTGCCCGTCTGTGACCGTGTTGCAATTAGTAGCGAGTCAGGTACCTACACCCTGAAAGAGATGGGAGTTATCTCAAGGTAGATTGGTCATGGTTTCCGTCTTCGGCTGGGATGTCTGCTAATTCATTCTCATGAAAATAAGATGCGTCTTTCAAGGCAAGGATCACGTTGCCTCGCCGACTTAAGCTCCCGCCACGTTGAGCGACATGATCTGACAGTGTTATTCAGCTTTGGTTGAAACTTCAATACTACATGCAAATTGGCTGATATTTACCACCTCGTGGCGTCCAAAATCGCGCGTTTGGAGATTGCCGGGGTTGAACCCGGGGCCTCTCACATGCGAAGCGGCGCGCTTACCACTGAGCTACATCCCGCGGCGCTCCTGCCCGGCGGGGCTGCCAGAAACGAAACCTACCTAGGAATACTGCGAGCGAGTGGGGAGCGGCAAACAAGATGCGAGAACAACACAGCATGGTGTGGCTCCGCATTGGGGTCTGCACTGAGCCATGGCTCTGATTCTGCCGTTGTCATCCGATGCAGAGTAGGCACACCAAAATATTTAATCGAGTAACAATTGAATAAATGTATATAATTACATCTTGTAATATGTTTACATATTCAAAGCACAAAAAATTATCGAGGATTAGGGTGAACGGTGCTTGAGCTGTGGCGTCTGGGAAAGCAGAGGTAGAGGGTTTGATTCCCCGCCGTTCCCGCTCTTCCTGTCGGGGTGAGAGACAGGCGACGGCATGCAACATTAGCAGCTGAGTGACTAGTAACGCCCTCAATGACACGAAATCCAGAAAAGCTTGGAAATGGTTCTGATGGCCGCACGCGAAAAGCACTTTGCTCTGGCCGTGGGATTGTTTAAACTTGCAAGTCAAAGGCGCGTCACGTTCTTCCTTAGCACACGCCAGAACTTCGGGACCGATTTACTTGTTGTCGGTAACGGCAACATCCATGAGGTGTGATTTGCATCCAGATGTTTGCACTCTCATTCGTCCCGTTTCCCATGCTCGATGGCAACAACATTCGTCTCGTTTCCCATGCTCTACTGGCCTAAAACTGTCCGCTGGAGATGCCGGGGTTTGAACCCGGGGCCCTCTCACATGCAAAGCGAGCGCTCTACCACTGAGCTACATCCCCACTGAACCCCGATGTTAACGGGTGATCGCCAAAACGGTCGGTTCGTTTGTGAAAACGCAGTAAGTATTGACGGTGGTATATTAGCAAAGACTCAAGTCCGGTCCGTGGCCGGGCTGACGCCATGGGCAGGCGGATGGAAATCCACTAATGAAAACCAAACCCAGGTCCGGTATTGTCCTCGCACCGTCAGAGTGTCGGAGTGCACCGCCGCACCGTCGGAGTGACGAAGCGCACCGTTGCAACCATGTCAAGTGTCGGGAAGTAATCAGTGTGCGTTCTAATGAAAGCTGGATGTTTGGTGCCGGTTGAAAACGTCGCCCAGGCTCCCATTACTTGCGGCGAAAATATGTCGCATCAAGTGTTTCACCTACTCCCCCCCTCCGTAATCTGGCGTGACCTTTTACGGACCTTCGTTGCCTACTACAGTTGCAACGGGAAGAACTGTTGTCTGTGTGGTCCGTTGGGATACCGGTGTCTTGTCACATGCGAGGAGAGCATATCACTGAACGCCATTTCCCCTGGATACATGCGCTGAGTGGCCTTGGACCTCTTCGTAAGCTCCAGATGCACTCATTTTCTAAGGTGGCTTTAGTCTGAGGAACTCTGCCCGTCTTGGCCAGTCATGGAGTCGAAAATCAAGACTTGGAGATGCCGGGGTTTGAACCCGGGGCCTCTCACATGCGAAGCGAGCGCTCTACCACTGAGCTACATCCCCGTGCTGCGCCACTGTCTTGTGGCTGACAGTGGACGGACACCCTTCGGATGACATCCTCCTGGTTCCTGACATTTCTTCCTAAGCAACCAGTTCTCGGTCCACTGGCGCTTGGACCACGAATAACCCAGGAAACAGTTCGGTATCCGGCCCGGACCCGGCAAGGAACAGGATCCGGCCCTGAACGTGCCAAGGAAACCAGCAAGAAGCAGGATACAACAAATTGTGCAAGACAGCCAATGAGAACCAGGATGCAGTGTTAGGCCAAGTCGCGATATTTAGCAAAAACAAAATCCAGCCGGAAATCTGGCCAGGGAGCCGGCGAAAACCAAGACCCAGCCAGGAAATCACTTGAGGATCCAGCTAACACCGAGATCCGGTGTAGAGTGCTGTCAGAGGAACCAACAAGAACCAGAATCTAACATGTCCTGTCATAAAGCAATGCCTTTTCACATGTAACCTGTAACATCCAGCATTGAAATGTCTGATGGAAAATCAGTGAAACCTGGTTGGCTGACAAGCAACACAAAATGAACGCAACAAAAATCAAGAAGATAATGGAGATATTGGTGATACATGGGCCGCACAAGGGGAGCATGGCGGGCATGTGTCCATTTCGCCGTCCTCCCTTTCGTGTAACGAAAAGGTACTCGGAAATGCGCAGATAACTTAATATATCCTTATATATGTGATGTCTGTTGAATCCCCTGTGATAGGAATTGAAATCGTGACGGGACGCAAGCGTCCGCTTGTCCATGGGCGCCCCGTCGCTATCAGGATCCAACAGTCAATTGTTTTGCGATCTTTCGGACGAGCTTGCATGGTTGACTATGATGGCTTCTGATAATGCCCTGAGCAAAGTTTGTTGTGTATGCCTTGAAGTTACCATCCCGATTTTACCGGCCGTTTCTACGGGAAATTTTGTCCCGAGTTGTCCACCAGATACGACTGCTGAGAGTGCACAATGTTTGAGGCCCTCCCCCCCCCCCCCCCCGAGGCTCTGCTGACCTTCGTTGGCCAGCCGCCAGCCGACCTTTCCATATCAATCGGGCCCTTCACGGCAATGTCCCCTTTATCGTCGAGGGGCAAGAAGGGCCAGGAAGTGTGCCTCGTGGCGACCGCACGTGGTACGCGCTCCAAGATTGTACCTGAATCTAACACAAAAAGGATGCGAGATGTCGTTTTTATAAAAGCCCTATCCGTTAAAGGGACTCTTCCGCATTTGTATGGAATTTTGAACTGAAATATTTAGTTTCTCAAGATCATTTTGTATAGATAAGATTTATGCATTGTTAGGGCCACAAACCCTTTTTTCTAACGTAGACGTACACGAGCTTTTGCAGACATATATCTGTATGACGTCATAGAAACATCACACGATTTCCTCCGCCTTAATGGCCATATTGTGTTCAAGGTCTAAAGTAGTGTAGTTATTTGATTATTCGTGTGTGGAGCACGCCAGCATGAATCGTCGCGCTGGCGCACAGCGGTTGGTTAGCAAGAGGTTATGCCACTGACTGCGTGCCTCGATTACGATTGGTTATCTGGATAAAGCCGTATGGGCCAATAATGACCTTTTTCGAATGGAAATGACCTTTTCAGGACTATGGGACGAAGGGAAATGGATAACGATGGGGCAGGACCACATGCACCTGGGAACTCAGCCGCCTGGACGTAACTCGCGCAGGGATCCATCTGCGGGGGCCCCAACAGAGGACACTCGTAGCTGGCGAATACAGCCTGACCCAGACAAGCGGGGGGTCGCGAGGTTGCAGGGCAAAGCGAGAAATAGAATGAAGGCACGGAATCCGATCATGGACCGCTGTTTGCCGTCGATCATGACCTGCATTTGTGATAACTGGCATGCATTTGGGAGTAAACAAGACGGAACCACGGAAAAGTATGCAAGAATGTCACGGGAAAAGACCAATACACGCCCACATACTGCCGGTAACATAAACGCACGCTCATAGGCCGCTAACGCCAACTGGCGGCGCGTTCAATACCACGAGTAAGTCGCTCCGTCCGAAATATTAGCAGCCAATCTGGCAGCGACTCTGTCGTTATAAAAGACGTTGTATTACGTAGTCAAACGGTGGCGCATTGAGCAGCAAATTGAGGAAACAGTTTAATTTTGCTGTTTAAAGGAGTATTCTACATGTATATGAGGGTTTTGAACTGAAGTGGCCATCTTGAGGACCTTTCGGTGCTGTTCGCAGTTATGTCCTGAAGACCTAAGATCCTCTAGTTTTTTAGCTACACGCCCGCGAAAATGGGCGCAGATATGTCGGGAAAGTGTTTTAAAGCCACATTGGCATTCATGACGTGCTGACATTTCAATCCTGTCATTCCATAAGCCATGTGGTGATCAATGCCAAGAAAAATATAATCGTCGAGGCACTCATATCCGACGTTGGTGAGCGCTATTTCCAAAGTATAACGGACGTCACCTAGCTCTCAATTAATGTTAAGTAAGGTACGATGGCGTGATCAGATCATGGCACACTGAGTAGCATATTTACTAAACAGAATTGTGTTGTACAGGACAGTCTTTTCCACTTAAAAAGTATACCAATAGTTACAAGTGAGCTTTGTTCATCATATCTGATGCTTGCTTCAATCCTCTTTAAATGTGAGACGTTCTTTGGAACACTCCCTAAAGGAACTGTTCCACGTTTGAGGATATTGAGGGACACATAAAATATGGTGAAAAAGCTCACTTGCAACTGTTGGTTTGCTTTGAAGTGCAAACGATTGCTGTAGAAAATGGCATGCCACTTTTTAGAAGAACGCCCCTCACTGCGTCATAGTTTTTATCACGTTAGGTAACGGTCTCATGACTTCAAAGTCACTGCTCGACTAGCCGTGTCGAGGTTGCCACTGTGGTGGACGGGCTCACTCACTGGTATGACTTCAACTCGCCGCACTGCTGCCGCTGCGATTTTTAGTAGCACTGGCGAAAAATGGCCGACTTGATATATGCGCTGTGATGGTGACAGACAGGGAGAGCTGTTTATAAAACGGCATCAGCCATAAAATTAGGCACGCCTGGTTCATGAAGAGGCCTGCAGATCATCGGGCTACGCTCTGATGGTGACATTGTTTATAAAACGGCATCAGCCATAACACTAGGCATGCCTGGTTCATGAAGAGGTTTGCAGGTCATAGGGCTAACGGCGAAAATGAACGCCCTTTCAAAAATAACGGTCCCAATAAAGTGGGTAACGCTACATAGCGGATTCATCGGAGCGCCCTTTTGAAAAACGCAGCACCCCTGTGATATTGCGTGCGTCTCGGAAGGAACAGCTGGCGCGAATTTCATATTGAAGAGAACCCTGACGGCAAAAATTAATGTTTTTTTCACAAACATGGGCAGATGTCCGAAAGATAGATAAGTGCATTCCAGAAACGCCATTGCAATGCATCGCGTTGTACTTACCAACGCTCTCCGCATTGTGAATGAGGCCGGAGGCCATGTGGGCCTTACTTTAACCATCTAAAATTTTCAACTTCAACAGCCCGCCCCTTCTCGGCGTCTCGCTTTTTAAAAATCTGAGTCGCGGATTTCTTTGCAATCGCGGCCTCGTGCATCTTCAACAATTGGTGCCCTGTCAACACCATGTTCGATCGAACATGGTGTTGACAGGAGTTCTCGAGCGCGCCAACTTCTCTGGTTATTCAGCGCCCGCAACCAAAATGCTAACTGTCCAAAAATGACCAGAGAAGTTGGCGCGCCCGAGAACTCCTGTCGACACCACGTTCGATCGACGTAAAATGCGGCGAATGGAGATGCCGGGGTTTGAACCCGGGGCTTCTCACATGCAAAGCGAGCGCTCTACCACTGAGCTACATCCCCGCAGTGGCCCGTGATTTTCAAGGGGCTGTGAAAATCATCGGTCGTCTGTGGCCATGCAATAATTAATTGGCTGATAATAAGCACAGCGCGCCTTTGCCAGGCTTGAGGCAACCTCCAGAAGGCCGGAGGATGAAAGGCACCTTAAATGCACCACTGGTGTGTTAGTTATGTATGAATTGTTATGAAAACTGGATGGTCTGGTGTTCAGGAGGGTGAAAGCCACCTTTAATGCGCCACTAGTGTGTTTGTTATGCATGAATTGTTCTTATGAAAACTGGATGGTCTGATGTTCAGGAGCTCCAGCATCAAGCATCAAGACCCGGTCTGACTTGATATTAAGGACCGAGCAAGGCCTAAGGCTCAGTACAGAGCCAACGGATCTAGTAGCCAGGATCCTCCCTAGAATTCGTATAAGGAACTAGCGCCGATGGA